GGAGATTTTTTCCATCTTTCCTTGGCTTCTTTATGCACATTAATACAAATTTTTAGCTGGGGTGCCCAAACTTTCGATCTCCACTGTACATATATACATGATTTTGCATTTCCAGGTAGGGGGCGCACGCAAGCACCCTACCCACGCCTCCATTCACTGCCGCGGCTGTCAATCACTGGGACCTGGCCAGTAATTACCTGCCGGCGCCCGGTGATTACCAAAGATCTCCGATGGGAAGGAGGACTGTTTTTTTTAATAAAGTCCTCCTCCCTGTCAGCTCGGGCACACTGCTCAGCACAGCCATCCAGAGCAGTGTAATTACAGTGAAGCACACTGACACGGCCCCCTAGTAAAACACTCCCTGCACACAGTTAACCCTTTGATCGCATCTGTTAACCCCTTCCTGTCCAGTGCCATTAGCACATTGTCAGTGCTTTTTTTTTTAGCACTGATCAATGTATTGGTGTCACTGGGGATGTCAGTGACACCAAGTCAGTTCCCCCCAGTGTCAGAATATCCGCCACAGTCCTGCTATAAGTCACTGATCACCGTCATTACTAGTAGAAATAAAAAAAGTTTTCAAAATTCCAGTATATATACACCATTTGTAAACGCTATAACTTTAACTTAAAGAAATTAATTTACATGTATTGAGATTTTTTTTTAGCAAAGACATGTAGCAGAATACATTTTGGTGTACATTTATGATGAAATTAGATTTTTTTAATTATATTACTGGACATGTTTAATAGCAAAAAGTCAAAAATATTTTTTTTCTCAAAATTGTCACTTTTTTTATAGCGCAAAAAATAAAAACCGCACAGGTGATAAAAAAACACAGAAAGAAAGCTAAATTTGTGGGAAAAAAGAGGATGTAAATTTAATTTGGGTGCAACATTGCATGACCCACACAATTGTCTGTTATGTAACGCAGCACTGTAACACAAAAAATGGCCTGGTCAGGAAGGGTGTAAATCCTCTGGAGGGCAAGTGGTTAAAAAAAAAAAAATAACAAACATGTTATACTTACCTGCTCTGTGCAGTGGTTTTGCACATAGCAGCCCCAATCCTCCCCTTCTAGGATCCCCACCGGCACTCCAGGGCCCTCCATCCTGTCGAGTGCCCCCACAGCAAGCAGCTTGCTCCAGAGCTAATGCTCTGTATGTCCATTCCTACCATTTATAGAACGCATTAAGATAAAAAAAACCTTGAGCCTTTACAACCACATAAAGATCAAACAGGAAACATTAAATAATCTATGCGCTACCAATGCCAACCAGCAAATGTTGCAGCTGTGGCTGTGCTCAACCTCAGTATATGTATAATATCCTGCACCCACAACTCTAGAGAATCAGTAGATGTGCAATTTATGAATCATATACAATACAGATTCCACAGTCTTTGTCTGCTGCATCACCAATATTATGCAATTTGTTGGTGGCTTTCAGAAATGAATTAGCGCTGGCAATGTAAATAGTATTTACATTAGGCTTTCTAGCCATCCAATTTTTCAAGGGACCACACTTAGGATCAACTCCAGACCTTTTGCCTGCTTAATTGATGAAGAAATAACGAAGGAGTAGCCCACACCTGGCCATGAAACAGCTTTTGATTCAATTGTCCCAATTACTTTTGGTCCCATGAAAAAGGGGGGATGGCTACTCTTAAGAACTGTAATTCCTAAACCCTTTCTCCAATTTTGATGTACATACCCTCAAATTAAAACTGAGAGTGTGCACTTTCAGCCCATATCCATTATATAATGTTAGCTTGAATATGTTTTGGTAAATACATGAACAAATGTAAAATTGTCCCCATATCCAAACATATATGGACCTAACTGTACAAGCCAAGTGTTTGGCTCCCAGTTGCAATGAAGTCCCACTGAAGCCCCACTGACTTGACAGGGCAAATCTGACAGGCAGTGCAACCTGTCAACTTGACAAGCAGTGCTAAATTTTCAGTGGCATGTGAACTGCCCCTTAAAGCTGTATTGTAGGTTTCAGGGTTGGGGGGATGCAGCTTAACTCTTGAACTGTTGTCTTGGTGCAAGAGACGTAAGAGGGACTGGTAAACTTGAACAAGTCACATGTTATGCAGACAGGCTGTTCCCCTGTGGATATATCAAGCTTTAATTTTTAATTTTGATTGCAGTGTATGTTTAACACTTTGTATTTAGTGTAATACAATGTCTGCACATTCAATGGAATTAAAAAGTATGAACTCAGCTAAAAGGTTTCCTATAATATGGAATGTGTACCTGTAGGGTATTTCTGTCTTATTCAGAAGGGGACTTCTGCCTGATAAACTCCACATAACAGCTGATATGCACTAAGTAACATATTATATTAAATATTATAACTGCTAGCAAAACTGTGCTAGTTCATTAAATAGTAAATATAGCAAATTTAGGGGAAACTATTGTGTATTTATTATTTCTGTAAGCTGAAATATAAAAAATTAGGTATAAATACTATGAAAAAACTCAACTTGTATTTGATGCTTACAATGAATGAAAATATAATACAAGTAAAATGATGACAACATATACAGTTAAGTGAGATATAAAGTGCACAGAAGACTTTATTAGGTTCACACATTCATATTTTAGTGCACATGCCAGAACGCAAAATAATGGCTTTATCATAGGAACAAATGTCATCCAAAGAGGCCATTCACATCTAAGCGATGGTTTAGACTGCATTTTGAAAAATGAGGCAATATCAATTGTTCTGTGCATTGTCATGCCCTGTGAGGCCCATAGAGGTCTATGGCAGCACATAGAAACACACAGAGTGCATTTTAGTGCTTTTCTATGTGTTGTCAGCCCCTGGCAATAGATCCTTTCTAAGGTCACAACAATGATGTCAGTGAGGATGTCAATTCTCAATGGCTAACGCAAAAGCGCATCACAGATGAAAAATGTATATTAAAATGGTTGTATGCAAATACATATACCGAGAGAAGTGACTAGGCTCAGGTGATACACAAAGATGAAACAAATTTTCCTACATAAGTTGTTCCATTTAAAGTGCAGAATTTACATAGCATCCCTCAGCTCTGAAAAGCAGAGGGCTGAGAAACAAGTTACACTCAGTGATGACAGCTCTGAGAGCCGAATGGAGGGGAGGGAAGGGACCCCCCCCTTCACACAGCTCACAGGAACAAAGCCGAAGCTGTCATTCTGCTGGAGGTCCTTCCCCATCACCATTTTTCTCTTGGTGTCAGGACACCTTGTCAGAAGTCACTTATGCTGAAAGCAGAGGAAAAAGGCAGCATACAGAAATCACACCTAGTGCTATGGAATGAAACAAGTGTACACTATAGAGAGATATGCTCTGTCAACATACTACAACAGGCATTATAAAATGTTCTAAAAAACAGGCAAACGTGAGCATGGATAGATTTAAACCTGGCCTTAAAGAATTGGCTCTTACAATTCTGCTTTCTAACAGTTTTTACTAAATTAATCACACAGTACAAGAGGTGGAGCAAGGAGAAAAGAATATGACAATCTGGGTGTGCCTAGGGTGGTAGGTGAGAATAGGTAATATAGTCATTTTTGTATGTAGTACAATTTGAGCTCCTTTCACCAAGTGGTAAAAAGCTCAAAACAGATGAAACAAAAAGAGTTATAAGAGGATTTCTGATTAGTTGATGTACATATAACACATATGCTCATTTCTTCATACAAAATATATCCTAACATCGATTACCATAAAAATAACTATCCATAAACGTGGTGATCCTGCCAGTAACATGTTTCCTGTCCTAGGGTGACAATGATCACTCATCATACTGTAGCTATGGAGGAGCATTGTTGTCATAGGACAGGACTACAGGGCACCCTCTCTTCTCCTCATCTCCATAATATAGGGGGAGATCTCCTTTCCCTCTTGTATTGAACTGTATTGTTGCTGTATTGTCTCCCGTTATATTGTAAAGAGCTGAGGAAACTGTTGCTGCTATATAAATCCTGTATAATAATAATAAATAATAATATTCTGTACTCCCAGGGGTAACCTGAGTTCACAAGACCGCACTGAATTCATGTCAGTTTCAACAAGTAGATTTTTTCCTATTAATGAACAGATAAAACAAAATGCTAATCTAACAAACCTAAATGCAGCAAACTACATACACATTAAATGGATATTTTCATTTACTAATTTGTATACAGCTGATGTAGTCCACACTATATTTTAGGAACCACTGAACCATTCAAAACATTCCTAGTCCCCAAAGGCACTTGCAGTCAAACAACCAACCACAGCCCCCCATATACACACATTAGGGCTAATTTAGATGGAGATCAATTAACCTACCAACATGCTTTTGCCTGATTAGGGGAAATTAGAGCATTAGGAGGATACCTGCCAACACAATGAGAAGATACAAACTCCAATGGGTTAAGCAGACCATACATGATTAGATTTTCCTTCCAACATTCATACAGAAAATATGAAATATAATTTAAAAGTACATTTTTTCTTGCCATCCTTGAGCCAACTAACTTCATTCAAAAGACCCTAAAATTTCATCCAAACCTGCTATTTTTATGGAATCCCAGACGTATTAAAAAGGTTTCATTAGATTACTGTATGTATGATTTTTCTGGAATGAAAACAATTAATTTGACCCCACTAAACATTAGACAGACATTACAAAAACAACATTTTCTGAATTAAATCATATGACGTCCTCCCAGAATGCGCTCTCCTGCGCACCCCTGGGGGCGCGCACCCAGCGATCTCCGTGATTGCTGTGTCCTATGGACACAGCTGATCACGTGATGTGGTAAAAGGCCAATCACAGCAGCCTTATACCACGTGATCAGCCATGTCCAATGACACGCTGATCACCAGGAAATGCAATTGCCGGTTCTCGGCTGCACTTTCCTCATGCTGTCAGAGCGTGAGGAAAGTACTGCAGAGAACCGGCAGTTGTCAGAGCAGGGATTGGCACCGATCATCAGGAGACTGATGATCAGTGCCCTGATGATCGGTGCCTAGCAGTGCCACCCACCAGTTCCGCCCACCTGTGCCCAGCAGTGCGCCCACCTGTGCCCAGCAGTGCGCCCACCTGTGTTTAGCAGTGCACCCACCTGTGCCCAGCAGTGCACCCACCTGTGCCCAGCAGTGCACCCACCTGTGCCCAGCAGTGCCACCCAGCTGTGCCCATCAGTGCAGCCCAGCAGTGCTGCCAGTCAATGCCACCAGTCCGTGCCCAGTGGTTGCGCCAGTCAGTGGCCAGCAGTGCCACCAGTCAGTGCCTAGCAATGCCACCAGTCAGTGCCACTTATCAGTGCTGTCTATCAGTGCCACCTATCCGTGACACCTCATTAGTGCCGCCCATCAGTGCTGCCTATCCGTGCCACCTCATTAGTGCTACCTATCAGTGCTGCCTATTAGTGCCCATCAGTGCTGCCTCATCAACGCACATCAGTGAAGGAGAAAAATTACCTGTTTGAAAATTTTTATAATAGAAAAAAATAAACTTTTTTTTTTCACATTTTTTGCAATTTTTTGTTTATAGCGCAAAAAGTAAAGCGCCCAGCGTGATTAAATACCACCAAAAGAAAGCTCTATTTGTGAGAAAAAAATTATAAAAATTTCATATGGGTACAATCTTGAATGACCACGCAATTGTCAATCAAAGTGCAACAGCGCTGAAAGCTGAAAATTGGCCTGGGCAGGAAGGGGGTATAAGTGCCTGGTAGACAAGTGGTAAAAGTATGTTTAACACAGTAAAAAAAGTGGCAGCTAGTTAAGTACATTGGCAATTTAGTTAGCATCATTTGGCGCGATTTAGTGATCACATAACCATACATTTAATTGGTCACTCCATAAAATAATCTACTGGTGTACTGCTAGCTTTAGGCTCCATGCACACTAGCATTTTTCTAAGCTCCTAGAAACTGTTATCATTTATTTTCTGTTGTCCTGTGTGTCTATGCATACTACTTTAACTGTGGTTCACATATATGCGGCCGTGCGGGCTGCGTTTTGATTGGGCACAAGAGCCCATTCATTTGAATGGACTCCTGTGCCCTGTGACACGCAGAGAAGTCCCTGCACTACTTCTGAAAACGCAGGGGAATCTCGGTTCCCAGTATGGTTGCGTTTTCCAGTGCGGGCAGCAGGCCATTATAACTAATGGCAATCGCATGCGGGTCCGCATTCCTCTGTGCGGGTGGTGCGGCTGCATGGATTTTCGTGTGGATCCGCAGCGGCACCACCTGCACAGATATGAACCTAGCCTTATGCTATTAGCATTTTTTGAGCTTTAGCATCTATCAGCAGAAAAAAATGTTTTTGTAGGGTCTTTTTGGAAAGTTTCCCCAGCAGAAAAAAATGCTAAATGCTACTAAAATGTTCATAACAGCTTTTTTTCTAGCTTTTTTTTTTAAACATATACTGTAAAAACACTAATAAAATGCTATCGCTTCTAAACACTACTAAAAATGCTGTTACCAGAGGTTTTTATCCAGCGTTTTTGAGCTAAACAAAAAATGCTAGTGTGCATGGAGCATCAGTGTCCTTGGTAAAAATCCTGCACAAGATCCCAGAACTGCTAAGCAAGGGCGCTAACCTCATAACCTCCATGCCTTGAATTTGAGGATAGATTGTTGTTTTTACAATGTTTCCCCCTGAAAACAAAGCAACAAGTATCCACAGGGTACATTTCAAATGGTAACAAAGTGAACTGTTTTTTGTTTGTATAGTTTGGGTGTATCGCAATGTGTCTCTTTATGGAAACTTTAACATTCTGATAATACACAGACGAGCTCTAATCAGAGAGTCGAAGTCAAATGAGGACATCGTGGGAGAAAATGCAGAAAAACAAATGCAGAGAGATGGATTCTAAATAATATTAATGATTTAGACATTCTTGGCTATACAATAGCATATAAGAGCCAGAAAACAATTCATGCATTGCTCTGACGTTAGTTGGTGTACACCAAACTACAAAAACACTATATATTCCCATCCTGAGTGAATATAAACCATTACTACAACTCCCATCATTGACTTTTTTCTTCACTTCCTGTCCAAGAGATGTGGCAGAAATTTAAATGACATCCCCCCAAAATGGGGGATGGCATTTGACAGCTGGCACCAAAAATAGAACACAGCAAGGTAGCTATCCTTTTAAGAATGGAAGCTTCCAGACTTTCCATTGCCTGTTGTCCTTCTGAAACTGCCAGTTGCCTAGCTTCCATGCTTATCCAGTGGTTTTAATACTTTTTGAGTCAATAGCCCAGAAGAGATATGTAGATCATGAGTCAGTGTGAGGTCCAGAATCCATATCTGTGTTCTTGTTCCAGGTCAGCGAAAATGATAAAACCACTTTCTCACCACTGATTTAATGCAGCCTTTCTCAACATGGAGGAACCCATGAAATAACTTTCCCTTGTTGCTAATTACCATATCTATAGGTCAGGGTATAATGGCATGAACAGTAATTAGGGATATAAAACTAAATAAAACAATAAGGAATATGGCATACTTAAAGTGCATGTAAATGCATGACGGTAAGAAACCTTGTGTGTAGCACCCCCCCCCCATCCTTACCTAAACCCCCTCCGATCCATTGATGTTCACAACAGCCTCGACTGTATAGGGACCTGCCCTCCTTATTGGCTGAGACAACAGCTTGAGCAAATCGGGAGCCCAATCACAGCTAGTGAGCCAATGAATAGGGAGGGGGGGGGGGGAGTCGTGGCTCTATGTGTCTTATGGACACATAGAGCGGCTCAGGAGCATGTAGCGGTGCACCCAGGGCAAGCAGCTTTCCCTGGGGGAACTGCTCAATGGGGAGGAGCCAGAGCACCGGTGGAGGACCCTGAAAAGTAGAGGATCGGGGCTGCTGTGTGCAAAACTACAGCCCAGAGCTGGTAAGTAAATCTCCACCCTGTAAAACAACCCATTCATTTTAAAATAGAAATGAAAAGCAGAACATTTGTGTATAGATAAAAAAAAATATTATAAACACCTTTTCTTCCTTTTTTGTATAAATGATTACATTTTCTCTGTTCTCAGCTACATAAGAGTTGGAGGAGGAGAAACAGCAGTACACTGATTTTCCCAAGGAAAGTCTGTGCAGGGGGAGGTGTGTCAGGACAAGTCTGATCATTGGAATAGAGCAGGCTGAGTTCCCAGCACAGCTGGAGAACTGACCAGGCTGTGCTCTCATGCCTAGTGTAGTCAGTTTAAATAGGAAAGCAGGGGGACTGGCAGGAACAGCAGGAATTTTACACAAAGGACACAATACAAATAGTATATTTTTTCATACAAGTATATGGTACAACAGGCACATATCAGGAATAAGAAACTTTGGGTTTACATTTTCTTTAAAGTATTTAAAACCCAGGGCTGTTGTATTCAACACAATTATTTTTAGTAAAAATATTATAATGAAACAAAGGAAAAAAATTATAATTGCAGTAAAAGAAATACAGATAGTGATAATTGTAGTGTTCCCTTACATTGGTGGTGTGTGAAAAAGTGCCCCTTTGCATCGGTGGCCAGTGGACCAATTTTCATTGGTGATCATTGGGAGAGGGGTCCCCTTTAGCTTATAGCCAGTGGGAGAAGGACAACTTTTCATTGGTGACCATTGGGAGAGAGATCCCCTTACATTAGTGGTCTGTGGAAAAAGAACCACTTTTCATTGGTGATCACTGGGAGAGGGGTCCCCTGACATTGTTTGGCACTGGGAGAAGGACCAACTTTCATTGGTGGTCTGTGGAGAAGGCACACGTTTTATTGGTTATCATCGGGGTGGAGGTCCCTTGCACTGATGGTCAGAAGGAAGAATGCTTCTTACCTTAAGGGTCCGTGGGAAAAAATACCCCCTGCTCTGGTTAAAAAGAGTGCAACTACACTTGCAAAATGCACAGTCTATTTGCCTTTAGTAAACGCACCCCATTGAATGTAAAGCTGTCTATAGATGGATTAAATTCAGCTAATTCAGAAGCGACTGGCTGAATCTCAATCAATATGGCTGTTCCCACTCAACAGAAGTCGGTTGTTAGATCAACTTCTATCGAACAGGACTGGTGGAAAACGTTTGTCAATTAGCCAGCTGCAGCCACTGATCAGTGTATTCTAATGGCAGAGGAATCCCTCTGTATGAATAAAATGGCACAGTGGGGAGGATTCTTTGATACGCCATGCATGTGTGGATGGAGGGATCAGATTTTTTTGTCAATCTGCCCTCTGACTGATAGAAAAAAATTAGGCATCTATGGCCTCATCGCGGCCTGGGCTTGCTGACCTACCATCATTCCAGAGCATCAAACAGAGGACAATGTAGAGGGACTACTTGTAAAGTTGGAGCTGTAGTAGGGAGCAAGAGCTGCATAAGCCGATACCTCCTCTGTAGTGCTGGCTCCTGTCCCATGCGGAGTGATACCAACTGCACTCTATCTCTTATCCCAGCCAGCAGTCTCCAGAGTGGTGCCAGCAGCAGGAAAGAAGAGATCTTCAAGTCAGTGTGAAGAAATACACTGGGCATAATAGTATAGGGTCCCTTTCACACTCATGTGCTGCGGTTTACCCACACCGTGGGTGCAATGCAGTGTACCTGCAGCTTTCCTGCATGTTTGCTGCGCTCAGCCATAGACTTATTTTACGTCCTATGGGTTTGGCGCATTTTCTGAAAGTGCACTGAAATTCTATACAGTTTCAGGGTGATTGCAGAGTGGCCCCATTTACCTGAATGGGTCATAATTGGCAGGCGGTAGCGCCCACCAAACGCAACAGGTGTTTTTATTTTTGCTGTGTTATGTGTACATCTTTGACTGCTGCTTCAGCAGCTAAAGGGGTAGGGGCTGGGGGCAGTAAAACCACAACTCAACTGCAGGGTTTTACTACCCTCCAACTTTACGTGTGAATAAGCCCCAAAGGTGCCGATGCCGAATGCAACTAAGGGCTCATTTCACAAGGTGGTGAGGAGGTGATATGTTGCCTCTCGTCACCTAATTAAAACCCATGATTGCCCTGCATTGCAAGCGAATATGACACGGTAGTATGACAGAGGTCTAAATCAGGTGTGAGAAGGTGACACTGGACCCAGTGATCTTTGATTTCTCCAATGTTGTTCAGGTAGACCTCCACCTCTAACAGGTTGCCTATCCCTGGATAAAAGTATAACTGAAGGCAAAACTTTTTCTAGCTTTGGATAGAGTAAAGAGAGATTAGAACACTGTCAGATTTTTATTGCTGTTTGTGTCCCTATTACAGTGGTAGCAAAGCCACTTTGTTACTTTTTACCTACAGGTAAGCTGTTTATGAGATATTGGGTTTTATTTGGGCAGCACAGTGACTAAATGATTAGCACTTCTGCCTGGCAGTACTATGGTCCCATATATCCCAATCACAGCACCACCTGCCTGGAGTTTGCATGTTCTCCCTGTGCCTGCGTGGGTTTCCTCCGAGTACTCCGGTTTCCTCCCACACTCCAAAGACATGCTGGTAGGTGCATTGGATCCTGTCTAAATTGTCCCTAGTATGTGTATGTATGAATGTGAG